TCTATGGACAAACCGCGCCTGATAGTCTACATAAGGTAAGATACGATAAGATACATCTTTATCGTCCAGTCCAGATCCTGGCATATTAGTTTGGCGTTTCACCACGTGCACACCTACACACAAACTAACACAAGCACACACCGGCACACACACACACACACACCGGCACACACACACACACACACACATACACAGTATGCTTGCATTCCCCAACAGGCTCACAGTCACATGCATAGTAATGACTTGTAATAAAAACAATAATAATAATAATGTTCAGCTAGTACATACTCAGTATTCCGATTGTAACACAGTGGTATTCTGATGCATGCTCTAATGACATGAATACTTAAAACAAGAAGATGGAAGAAGTTTGACGGATGATGGTAAGAATGACCTTCTGTATCTTTCTTTGTTACAGATCAGAAGCCTAGGTCTTTTACTTCTGACGGATGTTTTTTTTGGAAGGAACAAGGGATGTTTATTGTCCAAAAAGAGGGAATTAATTTTCCTAGGGCAAGCTACATTTACAGGCTTGCTGGCTTTCGCGAAACCCAATGAGGAACACCAAAGTTATTACAAAAGATTCCATATATATATGTAAGAGTGGACACATTCACAGCAAGTGGGACTGGCATTTGTGGAGGGTTTGTGATAGGTCTCATACATTCTTAACTGCCAAATCTACTAGGACAGTTGGCCGGCCTGCATTTACCTGTGAAAGGAATTTAGGCTCACCAGCTAAATGTTTTACTTCAACTTCCAAATTCATTTCCACCATCAAGACTCAAACTAACCACATGTGAGCAATAATGGCAGGAAAATGTGCCGTCATCAGCGGACAGAATGTTTGCAAACATGTCCAGGATGGCAACTTGAGTGCTGTAACTGTCTAGAAGTTTCCACGACTCACTCAAAGACACACTAGACTCATTACTTTGCCCTGATATTCTACTTACTACTTCAAGATAGTCCATGACATTCATACAAACTGCTACAAGATAGTCCATGACATTCATACAAACTGCTACAAGATAGTCCATGACATTCATACAAACTGCTACAAGATAGTCCAAGACATTCATACAAACTGCTACAAGATAGTCCATGACATTCATACAAACTGCTACAAGATAGTCCATGACATTCATACAAACTGCTACAAGATAGTCCATGACATTCATTCATACAAACTGCTACAAGATAGTCCATGACATTAACTGCTACAAGATAGTCCATGATATTAACTGCAACAAGTTGATAGTCCATGACATTCATACAAACTGCTACAAGATAGTCCATGATATTAACTGCTACAAGATGATAGTCCATGATATTAACAGCTACAAGATGATAGTCCATGATATTAACAGCTACAAGATGATAGTCCATGACATTCATACAAACTGCACAAACTGGCTCTACCAAGCTGCTATTAGATCCCTTAGATCTATCTATCTATCTATCTATCTATCTATCTATCTATCTATCTATCTATCTATCTATCTATCTATCTATCTATTTATCTATCTATCTATATATCTCTATCTATCTATGTATGTTATCTATCTATAGAAATAAGAGCTTAAAAGATCAAGTGTTCTTTGAACAAACCTGCAGGGGCTGCGCTCACGGCATCATAGTAATCATCCTCTTGAGTATCAGACGAAGACATGGCCACCTTTTATACAAAACAAAGCTGCTGTTTCAAACTAAACATTTGCACACATGGGGGTGGTCTGCATCAGCTGCATCCTGTAAAAAAAACCCAGATCAAAGCCCTTCATCCACATGCCTCCTATTCTTATAATTATTCTTATGAAGCGCATGACAATCTGAGCCAACAGTTGCTGACCAGCGAAGCATGCTATTGTTGTGAAGCCGCATGACAATCTGAGCCAACAGTTGCTGACCAGCGAAGCATGCTATTGTTGTGAAGCCACATGCACCCAAAAGCACAAGATTGAACAACTACATTTCATTTTCAAATTAAATAACAAATCAGTAATGGAAAAGAAAACTGTAACCAAATGTCCACACATTAAAACAACTCTACACCTTTGCTGAGTTGGCTAGGACTTGGCAATACCCAAGGTAAAGGTCTGAGCAAAGAACAATGCATTTTTTTTATTCTGTCACTCTCAGTTTGTCGGGTTTAATAAACTTGTCGAAGCAGCCAAAATTACCAGTCAATGCCAGGATAAGCAAACATGCACCTACAATACCAAAACATCCTGATTAACTACAAGATAGAAGTGTATACAGACCCGGTAACCGGGAACAAAGTCACCAAGTATACAGACCCGGTAGGGGAACTCTTTTGTGATTTCGGAAAGTTTCAGCGCCCAGACCTGGTAGATCTAGATCTAGTAGGCGTGTGTGTGTGTGTGTGAGAGAGAGAGAGAGAGAGAGAGAGAGAGAGGGGGGGGGGAAGAGAGAGAGAAAGAGAGAGAGAGAGAGAGAGAGAGAGAGAGAGAGAGAGAGAGAGAGAGAGAGAGAGTCCCTCTACCGGGACTGTATACTTTGAGACTTTGTTCCCGGTTACCGGGTCTGTATACTTTGAGAC